TCACCATGGGTGCCCAATTAAGTTCTTGTATGATACTACCTCCATCCTAAAAAAAAGAATGCAACTATGAGTTGCGCATCACTTAAAAGTAGTTCATATTTTACCAAGTTTTTAATGAATAATATTCACAGTTATGTCTTTAAATTAATTTATCATGAAAATACATTTCTTAATTAATCTGATGGTATTTATTTGGTATCATAAACATTGATACTTTTTTATTTATAATTGGTCAAACTTAATGGACTAAAACGTGACACAGTGTTAGAATATTCTTTTGGGGACGGAGGTAGTATATGCCCTCCCGATATATTTAAGAGAGAGAGAGATCAGTCCTTGACGTGTTGATAACGAACTCTCTACTAACTTTAATTAGAGACTATAGTCATAATTTACTATAAATGCTTGATATAGTTTTTTTCTCCTGTTGCAATGCACGGGCATGTTTGCTAATGAAAATAAAAAGATTGAAAGAAAAAGTCTCAGATGGATCTTGATATGGGCGTCTTGACATTGACCAAGGAACAACATAAGTCTCGTTTGAATCCTGCAGTTTAAACTTAAAAATGTGAACACCCACCTATACGGACAAGTTATTATACTGGTACTAGTACAACACAAGTGCTCCATTGTCAAGCATGCACGTAGCCTCCTGTCCTCCACGTATTCAGTCACAGATGCTCAACATTTTTTTAAAAACATGTTGTCCACAATCAAACCGAAAATAAAGGTGAAACTCAAACAGATTCCCTCATGATTGTTTGAGTTCTGTGGTGTATAAGACGAGCACAACCGAACACCCCCCATAATACTTCCTCCGCTCCAAAATTTAAGATATTTTGCTTTTTTAGAATATATATAGATTTTAATATGTATCTAGACATAACATATGTGTAGATATATAATGAAAATCATATATATATAGAAAAATCAGAATGCTTTATAATTTTGAATAGAACAAGTACAAGTTAAACCACGGTTAGCTTTAAGCTCGCATCTTACCATACCATCTGCTCTAAGGATCTGTTTTGATATTACGACTAAATTTTAAATGACAAAAGTATAGTATAAACTATTTCGATAGGTGGATTGAGTTTTAGTCCACACCCAGCCGTGGAACCTTCGGCACGACGACCTACCCAACTACAACTATCGTTCGGTTATCTATTCCTTTTGTTGTATCTATATGGAGTAGTTTGTAAAACAATTTTAATTCAGAAATGCTCCACCGTGGACGCCCGTCCCGCCGCCGGGATTTAACGGATGCTGCATGGTCTCACGTGGTCCACGATTTTTATACCATACAAATATCCACTCCTGTTAGGTGGCTAGACTTATCCTCTCTGATTCCATCTCCTCTCTCTCTCTCTCCATCGTGGAGCCTGTGCTCGCCAGTTGCTCCTCACGCAGGTGCTCGCCCCAGCGCAATGCCACAGTTGGGGTACCGGCGACGCTGCCTCTGATGGGGCACCAGCGAGTTCCATGCGTCGCCACCAACCTCTGCACCGGAATCGAGCTCCGTTACGATGAGCCTCCATTCGTCCAAGCAGCAAGGTGATATTGTGCTAGAAAGCGTATGTTTCAAGTGTTATAGTTGTTTCAGAGCTGTGTTGTAAGTGTTTCACATCAATGTTGCAAAGTAGATCGGGATGTTGGACATGTTGCAATGGCTATACACGTATGTTTCAAGTGTAGGTTCCAAAAGTTTCATCTGTTTTAGACGTATGTTGCAAGTGTTTTATCTAGATGTTGTAAAAGTAGATCTGGATGTTGCATATATATGTAAGTGTTTCAAATGTTTTCATATGTATGTTGCAAGTGGTTTCATCTAAATGTTTGCAATGACTACACACGTGGTTTTCAAGTTTTTTCTAGTGTTTCGCAAGTGTTTCAGACGTATGTTGTAAGTGTTTCAACTGTTTCGGGCATATGTTGCTAATGTTTCCTCTAGATGTTGCAAAAGTAAATCTGGGATTGCACATGTTGCAATAGGACACATCTGCAGCAGCCGTCTGCTGCAGTTGCTAGACCCGCCTGCATGCGCATGGGTGTGGAGGAGGCACGAGCGACGTGGGACATAGAGTGGCGTGGGCCCCCACGTGAAGCAGCGTAGGCGTGCGGTGCAGGTGTCCGAACGCTAGCCCCCGTCCCGATGTCTGAACACTAGCCTTTCCCAATTTAATTACATGGTGTTCATACAAAGACCGGTTATGGCCCCACACCCAAAGGGCTAGCACACTTATATAGTACAAGGGTCATAAGGACCACTCGGAGATCGAAAATTGCAACGAGATAGAGAAAACCAGCCTAGGTGAATTTGAATAGTGCCAGAACCTGCTACTTTCGTAGATTAGCCTCGCAAAAAACCTCAAAACACCTTCCAAGAAGGAGCCAGTCAGGGTTTGTAAAAGGAAAAATAGTATATTAGTTTTTTTATCCATGATACCTCAATCGGTTGTGAATAGCTCATATAAATGTGTGTGAGTAGGCTAATTTCAGGTTCAAGCACCGGGAAAACTTATGCAATATCCAAATCCAATTGCCTAGTGTTCACACAAATATCGGTCACTATCACACACCCATAGAGCTAGCACACTGGGATAGTACGACGGTCATACAAACCACTAGAGGATTGAAAATCACAGCTAGAGTGCGAGACAGAGAAAATTATATCTTGGGTTGATTTGAATAGTGCCAAAACCAACCTGGCCTAAGCTAGTTTCGACAGGTCAACCTCTATGAAGAACCTCAAAACGCCTTCCGAGAAGGAGCCAGTCATGCATGCGCAACTAGGGTTGCTTTAGGTTGGCAAGGCCACCTAGAACGTCCACAAATTCCATCAGCATATACAAGGGTTGAAAGAGTTAGGGTTTGTAAAATGTAAAATAGTATATTAGATTTTTTTTATGGATTTGATACCTCAATCGAATATGAATATCTCATATGTATGTATGAGTTGGACAAATTTAGGTGTAAACACCTGACAAATTTCGAGGCTCTTTACCAAATTGCTAACTGAATTTTCAAGTTGGAGGTGAAAATTTTAGGTGCGGCACGCGGATTGGTACTTTAGAGATGTATATCGTCGTGATTACGATTGGGATTAATCTGAAACATGGGTCCGTGGAAGTTATAGTAGTTGTTGAGGCTAGGGCATTGTTGACGTAGACAACCAAAATTGTCCAATTAAATTATTCGGTCATAAACACATTAGTTTGATTAATCAAGCTGGTATGTACATCATTAATATTATTTGACCGATACTGTTTCATCAGCCAAGTAATTGGCATGACGGCCAAGCAAATGAAAACAGACGGTTGATTTTGTGGGAACATATATGCAGTGGCAGCGGGGTTCTGTTGACGGTTCGGTTGGAAATTGAAGAGTCCAAGTGCAGCACGTTAACTCAGCCTATTATGTGCAGGAAAAGAGAAATCAAGAGCTTGCATGTATCCAAGGAAAACAAGCAGCCTGTTCGGATGGCTGGCTGGTTCGTGGATTATTACTGCTGGTTGATTTGGTGCGAGAAAAAAATACTGTTTCGACTGGAAATTTACGATCGTTTATGAGATCCACCGGCCAACCGAACAGGCCGAAGGATATGCCTACTTACGTGACTACCCTGGCCGTACGCACGAGTTTAAGCTCATGTATTGACAATATTCGTTAAAGGAAACTTGCTAAATTTGCTGGCGACGGAGGATGTATACATGTCGGTTGCTGGAGGTCCGATATACCGTGTACACGCGTATGCATGCGTGGTACATATTTGCAGCCGGCAAACAGGACCACGTATTTGCAGCCGGCAAACAGGAAAAAAGGATCGTTGAGCTGAGTCCAACTCCTACACGAGCTAAGAACCAAATCGGTCTCCCTTGCCATTTAGGAAAATATTGTTTAATATATTTTGATTTTTATAGGAGAGACATGAAGTCAAGGTGCTCCTCGCGCGAAGATAAGGGAAAGCAACAGAAGCTACAAGATTATGAAGGAAGGTGCACACGTCATAACCAAAGAGAATAATTCAAATGTCTGACTTTTAGAGATACGATGATGCACGGCCGATTATCATTTTTGGCCACCTACGGTTAGTTTGACCGCAAGAAGAAAATTGAGTTTCCTCGTGGGAAAGACCAACCACCCTATACATACGGCCGATTGAGGGATACAACATCTAATTGTCAAAATACAACACATATCCTCTCTTGGCCTTATTTTTTCAACTCATATTGTTCATCACTTGATCCGACGATCAAGGATAGCGCCCTAGGCTTGCTGGCCGATCTAGCGCAACTCGGCGATGTCCTTACCCCGATGGGGTCCCTCCTGGGCAAGAGTTTCAGCGACTCCTTTGCTAGTTTGCCTGGAAACTAGGCGTTCTTCGTCATGTAAGTACGATAGGTTATTATCCTTTAGTGGTTTGCTCGTAAACCTCTTCGTTCCAGACCATGTAAGTGTGATAATCCTCGCTGCGTTCTTGGATCCGTGACGACCCGAGCGATCTAGCCCCAGTTAATGTGTGATCCAATTTAACGTCGGCACATTGCTGTCATGATGGCATCCTATTATATGGTGCCCGATGCCACTTGCTACGTATAGACATAATAAGGCACCGAAAAGTCTAAACTGAGAGGCATCTAGATTGAGGCCCACCCGAGGGCATCTAGATTCACGACCCAAACGAGAGAGCTCACAGCACTACCGGATTCAGCTTCTTTGCCGAGTGCCACTCGGCAAAGGCCGATATACACTTGGCAAAACCTTTGCCGAGTGTTACACTCGACAAAGGACGCTTGGTAAACAGTTTATCGGCAAAGACCTTTTTGCCGAGTGCACTTTATCGGGCACTCAGCAAAGGCTTTGCTGAGTGCTAATCTGACACTCGGCAAAGAAAAGTCCCCGTGACGGCGAGCATCACCGTGACGGCAAAGCCTTTGCCGAGTGCTAAATCGACACTCGGCAACGAATTTTCGAAAAAATATAAAAAAAAACCGCCGCCGCTACCTTTCCGCGTGCGGCGCGTGATGGATCCCGGGAACGTCCTGCGCGGTGACGGTCTGCAGCCTCCAGCCGCGGCCGTAGTCCGCGAGGGCCGCGCTGGGGCCGAAGCTGACGGGCTCTTCGCCGTCCCTGATAGCCTCGACGTGCAGCGCCGGTGGGGCCCTGGGTTCGAGCTTGCGGTTGATGGCGTGCAGCGTGTAGCGGGCCATCGTCCCTGCCGCGAACTGCCGGACCTTGCCAGAGCTCCTGCACGTCACCTCCGAGAACTGCCAAGCGGCAAGCAGACAGCAAGCGTGTCAGTTCGAGGAGAGCGGGTGCAGCAGGAGGAGGAGACCTTCTGCGGCAAGCAGACAGCAGACAGCAAGCAGACCTTCCGCGGGATGAAGATGTACAAGAAGGTTCGTGGGGCTCTGTGCAGCAGGAAGAGAGCGGGTCTTACCGGTTGCGGTGGAGGAGGAGAGTCGCCGCCGCCGTCCTTGCCTGGCTGTTGCGCGTCGCCGGGCTGCTGCGCCCGCCGCTCCATCGCAGCGCGCGCTGACTCACGCCCCGCTGGGTGAGCTGCCCACCGTCGGATTTGCCTGGCTGTTGCGTGTCGCCGTACAGTTATATAGTATAGCAGCTTTGCCGAGTGTCCTAGATCTGACACTCGGTAAAGCAGTGTTTGCCGAGTGTTCTAGATCTAACACTTGGCAAATGATTTTATTTTTTTTTTATTTTTTGCCGAGTGTCCTATATCTGACACTCGGCAAAGCAGGGTTTGCCTAGTGTTCTAGATCTCAGCACTCGGTAAAGTTTTTTTTATTTTTTTCTTCTCCTTCTTTTCTAGAAAAAGATTTTATTTCTTTGCTGAGTGTTTTTTTTACACTCGACAAACCCCTACTTTGCCGAGAGTTTTTTTTTGACCCTCGGCAAACCAACCTCTTTGCCGAGTGTCTTCTCCAGACACTCGGCAAAACGGTGATTTGCCGAGTGTCATTTTTGATACTCGGCAAATCATATTTTTTTCACTTTTAACCTCCAAACTTTTTCTGCAGTCCTCATACAATACCTGGTACTCCATGTTCCAATGTGACACATTTCTCGGACTTTTTCTATATTTCTTTAATTTATTTCATTTAATTGAATTTTCCTGGATAATTCAAATTATAACTGCTAGTCATTCGAATAATAAAAATGAATGGGAAAATGATATTCATATTATTTAGTATAATGTGAGGCCGTATCCGGGAACAGACCACCAATTTCTAACATCTTGTTCACGAAACATGACCAAGAACTTGCGATTGAATTGTTTTTAAATTCTATAAAAAGCAAACGAAGACCGAAAATCTTGAAACTTGTCGAGATGTCATGATATCATATGTGGAGGCTGTGATAAAAAATTGAGTTGGTTTCGCGCAAGTTTGTCACGTACGATGCTTACCACCTCGTCGGCCTCTTCACGAAATCATGAAACTTCTTCGGAGATTCTTTGGTTTCCAAGCATCGTACGTGATAACTTGCGCGAAACCTTCTCAAATTTTTATCATAGCCTCCACATATGATATCTTGACATCTAGACAAGTTTCATGATTTTCGGGCTTGGTTTGCTTTTTAGAGATTTTAAAAACAACTCGACCGCAAGTTCGTGGTCATGTTTCGTGAACAAGATGTTAGAAATTGGTGGTCTATTCCTGGATACGGCCTCACATTATACAAAATAACATGAATATCATTTTCTATTCATTTTTTTCATTATTCGAATGACTAGCAGTTATAATTTGAATTATCCAAGAAAATTCAATTAAATGAAATAAATTAAAGAAATATAGAAAAAGTCCGAGAAATGTGCCACATTAGAACATGGAGTACCAGGTATTGTATGAGGACTGTAGAAAAAGTTTGGAGGTCAAAAGTGAAAAAAATATGGTTTGCCGAGTGTCAAAAAAATGACATTCGGCAAATCACCGCTTTGTCAAGTGTCAGGAGAAGACACTCGGCAAAGGGTTAACGGGCGGTGACCCTTTGCCGAGTGTTACGTTTGTCGAAGTTTCGGACACTCGGCAAACTGGTCTTTGCCGAAAGTGTTATTGTTTATCGAGTGCTCGCACTTTCGGCAAACCACCTCTTTGCTGAGTGCCAGTTGTTTGCCGAGTGCTTTCTCTCTCGCACTCGGCAAATAGCCCATTTGTCAAGCGTCCGGTAAAAGGCACTCGGCAAAGTCTGGGACACTCGGCAAAGAAGCCGTCTCCTGTAGTGCAGTGTCATTACGTTCGGGTTAAGGGTTCAGGTCTTTTTTCAGGTAGTAGGGCCGGAGTTGGCTGACAGTGGGTGTGGATGAGACGACGGCAGCGGGAGCCGGACGGCCGGGTGGGGTGACCACGAGATGGGCATGGAGTGTCGTCCTGGCAGGGTCTCGGCCTCTCAGGGCAACAACCATCGATGACACCCATGGTTATAGCGAGTAGACCGTGGCGGCAAATATATATGGCGCCATTGTATGTTTCTCTCCTGTCCAACATGATGGAGGTCAAGCGCGCTTTCGATGTCACTTATTTGAAGCTAAAGCTACTGAGTCTTTGCAGTGACATGATTCACTGCTGAACGATAACACGCGGTGACGCCGATTGCATGCAGTACCGAAAACTATGAATAATCTAGATGTCAGCCTTTGCCGTGGGCGGATAGACTTTGCTAATTTAGTTGAGGGAGACGTCGACCGCGTAGGTCGCATTGCCCTTGTCGACGGTTTGAAATTCAAACAGGAAGAAACTTCAAAACCGAACTGGTCTTTATATAAGACCTTTCATCATGAAGACATACTGGGGCGCACTGTTAACAAATGTCAAACACACGTAAGACAATGGCTCTCTTGACGCTGTCATGCTGAGGTGATCTGCTGTGCTTCTCTTACGATGACTCCACAACCTGAAAGAGAAATTTTTTTTTGACAACATGAAAGAGAATTGTTTGACATTACGATTGGATAATAAAAGTGTTGGTGTTTTTTACCGACAGATATTTGGTTCTGGGAGAACCCCACTTGGTGCAAAGATCAATCACAGTAGAGACACGAGATTTTTACTAGTTCGGACCCACGGGAAGCGAGTAAAAGCCTTACGTCTAGTTGCTACTTCTTGTATTATGTATTCAGCGAGATTGTGAGGACAAGATGGCTATGTCTATGAGAGATTGGATGATTACAACAGAGGGCATTGCTAGCTATTTATATCCGAGGCCTACTTGCCCTGCAAGCCACGTTGTCGTGCCCTAGTCGGAGTCTTGGCGTGATCCTAAAATATCCTTCCTTGAATGGGCGACTCATGAGCCTTCGGGTCTTCTTTGGTACGAATTCGGTAGCCAGCATATCTAGTATAGTCGGGATTTCTGGGAGTATGGCATCGTCAGTAGCCCTCGAGCTTGCCTACCAATCGGACTCGACAACTTTCCTGTACTCGGGCCTTCCGAAGGCGTTCAGAGTTGGGCTTTGTTGAAGAGGTCCGAACTCACACCCGTGATTGAGAGGTTGGTCCGGTAGAAGTTGTAGAGTCTCGTAGTTGGGTGATGAGCTGTTGAATAAAAAATGTCATACCCTGGAGTCATCTTGTCTACGTAGCTTATCGCTCGCTTGTATTTGGAACCTTTTAAGTCGGGTGGTTTGTACTCGGTTCTCGGGGAACTACGCGCTGACGGTCTGCAGCCTCCAGCCGCGGCCGTAGTCGGCGAGGGCCGCGCTGGGGCTGAAGCTGACGGGCTCTTCGCCGTCCCTGACGGCCTCGACGTGCAGCGCCAGCGGGGCCCCAGGTTCGAGCTTGCGGTTGATGGCGTGCAGCGCGTAGCGGGCCGTCGTCCCTGCCGCGAACCGCCGGACCTTGCCGGAGCTCCTGCACGTCACCTCCAAGAACTGCCAAGCGGCAAGCAGACAGCAAGCTCGTCAGTTCGAGGAGAGCAGGTGCAGCAAGAGGAGGAGACCTTCCGCGACAAGCAGACAGCAAACGCGTCAGTTCGAGGAGAGCGGGTGCAGCAGGAGGAGGAGACCTTCCGCGGCAAGCAGACAGCAAGCAGACAGCATACAGCAAGCAGACCTTCCGCGGGATGAAGATGTACAAGAAGGTTCATGGGGCTCTGTGCAGCAGGAGGAGAGCGGGTCTTACCGGTTGCGGTGGAGGAGGAGAGTCGCCGCCGCCGTCCTTGCTTGGTTGTAGCGCGACGACGGGCTGCTGCGCCCGCCGCTCCATCGCAGCGCGCGCTATCTCGCGCCCCGCTGGGTGAGCTGCCCACCCTCGGATTTGCCTGGCTGTTGCGCGTCGCCGTGCAGTTATATAGTATAGCAGCTTTGCCGAGTGTTCTAGATCTAACACTCGATAAAACAGTGTTTGCCGAGTGTTCTAGATCTGACACTCGGCAAAGCAGGGTTTGCCGAGTGTTTTAGATCTCAACACTCGGTAAAGTTTTTTTTATTTTTTCTTCTCCTTTTCTAGAAAAAAGATTTTATTTCTTTGCCGAGAGTTTTTTTTACACTCGGCAAACCCCCTCTTTGCCGAGTGTTTTGTTTTGACACTCGACAAACCAACTTCTTTGCCGAGTGTCTTCTCCTAACACTCGGCAAACCATATTTTTTTCACTTTTGACCTCCAAACTTTTTCTGCAGTCCTCATACAATATCTGGTAGTCCATGTTCCAATGTGGCACATTTCTCGGACTTTTTCTATATTTCTTTAATTTATTTTATTTAATTGAATTTTCTTGGATAATTCAAATTATAACCGCTAGTCATTCGAATAATAAAAAAATGAATGGGAAAATAATATTCATGTTATTTAGTATAATGTGAGGCCGTATCCATGAATAGACCACCAATTTCGAACATCTTGTTCACAAACCATGACCACAAACTTGCAGTCGAGTTATTTTTAAATTCTATAAACAGCAAACGAAGACCGAAAATCTTGAAACTTATCGAGATGTCATGATATCATATGTGGAGGCTGTGATAAAAAATTGAGGAGGTTTCGCGCAAGTTTGTCATGTACAATGCTTACCACCTCGTCATCCTCTTCAAGATTCTTCGGTTTACAAGTATCGTACGTGACAACTTGCGTGAAACCTTCTCAATTTTTTATCACAGCCTCCACATATGATATTATGACATCTTGACAAGTTTCATGATTTTCGGATTTCGTTTGCTTTTTATAGAATTTAAAAACAACTCAACCGCAAGTTCGTGGTCATGTTTCGTGAACAAGATATTCGAAATTGGTGGTCTGTTCCTGGATACGGCCTCACATTATACTAAATAACATGAATATCATTTTTCCATTCATTTTTTTCATTATTCGAATGACTAGCAGTTATAATTTGAATTATCCAAGAAAATTCAATTAAATGAAATAAATTAAAGAAATATAGAAAAAAGTCCGAGAAATCTGCCACATTGGAACATGGAGTATCAGGTATTGTATGAGGACTGCAGAAAAAATTTGAAGGTTAAAAGTGAAAAAAAATATGGTTTGCCGAGTGTCATTTCATGACTCTCGGCAAATCACCGCTTTGCCGAGTGTCTGGAGAAGACACTCGACAAAGGGTTAACGGCGGCTGCCGGCTGTTAACGGCGGCTGCCCTTTGCCGAGTGCCCGACACTCGGCAAACCTGGTCTTTGCCGAGTGTTATTGTTTGCCGAGTGCTCGGCACTCGGCACACCACCTCTTTGCCGAGTGCCAGTTGTTTGCCGAGTGCTTTCTCTCTGTCACTCGGCAAATAGCCCCTTTGCCGAGCGTCCGGTAAAAAGCACTCAACAAAGTCTGGAACACTCGACAAAGAAGCCGTCTCCGATAGTGCAGTGTCATTACGTTCGGGTTAAGGGTTCAGGTCTTTTTTCAGGTAGTAGGGCCGGAGTTGGCTGACAGTGGGTGTGGACGAGACGACGGCAGCGGGAGCCAGACGGCCGGGCGGGGTGACCACAAGATGGGCATGGAGCGTCATCGTGGCAGGGTCTCGGCCTCTCGGGGCAACAACCATCGATGACACCCATGGTTATAGCGAGTAGACCGTGGCGACAAATATATATGGCGCCATTGTATGTTTCTCTCCTGTCCAACATGATGCAGGTCAAGCTTTCGATGTCACTTATTTGAAGCTAAAGCTACTGAGTCTTTGCAGTGACATGATTCACTGCTGAACGATAACACGCGGTGACGCCGATTCCATGCAGTACCGAAAACTATGAATAATCTAGATGTCAGCCTTTGCCGTGGGAGCATAGACTTTTGCTAATTTAGTTGAGGGAGACGTCGACCGCGTAGGTCGCATTGCCTTTGTCGACGGTTTGAAATTCAAACAGGAAGAAACTTCAAAACCGAACTGGTCTTTATATAAGACCTTTCATCACGAAGACATACTGGGGCGCACTGTTAACAAATGTCAAACACACGTAAGACAATGGCTCTCTTGACGTTGTCATGCTGAGGTGATCTGCTGTGCTTCTCTTACGATGACTCCACAACCTGAAAGAGAAAAAAAAATTGACAACATGAAAGAGAATTGTTTGACATTACGATTGGATAATAAAAGTGTTGGTGTTTTTTACCGACAGATATTTGGTTCTTGGAGAACCCCACTTGGTGCAAAGATCAATCACAGTAGAGACACGAGATTTTTACTGGTTCGGACCCACGGGAAGCGAGTAAAAGCCTTACGTCTAGTTGCTACTTCTTGTATTATGTATTCAGCGAGATTGCGAGTACAAGATGGCTATGTCTATGAGAGATTGGATGATTACAACAGAGAGTATTGCTAGCTATTTATATCCGAGGCCTACTTGCCCTGCAAGCCACGTTGTCGTGCCCTAGTCGGAGTCTTGGCGTGATCCTAAAATATCCTTCCTTGAATGGGCGACTCGTGAGCCTTCGGGTCTTCTTCGGTACGGATTCGGTAGCCAGCATATCCAGTATAGTCGGGATTTCTGGGAGTATGGCATCGTCAGTAGCCCTAGAGCTTGTCTGCCAATCGGGACTCGGCAACTTTCCCGTACTCGGGCCTTCCGAAGGTGTTCAGAGTTGGGCTTTGTTGAAGAGGTCCGAACTCACACTCGTGATCGGGAGGTTGGTCAGGTAGAAGTTGTAGAGTCTCGTAGTTGGGTGACGAGCTGTTGAATAAAAAATAGCATACCTAGAGTCATCTTGTCTACGCTTGCTTGTATTTGGGGCCTTTTAAGTCGGGTGGTTTGCACTCGGTTCTCGGGGAACTCCAAGTAACCACTCTCGAGCGGAGGCCCGAACATCGAAAGTCAGAAAGTTGTGCTGTTGAGAGATGAGCTTGTTTGAACAGTGCCATCCCCTGATAGTCTTGTAATATGCCTCAGAATCCTTTAAGATTGGGCATTTGGTAGTCATCGAGACTTATATAATTAAAAATCAGTCTTGGGAAACTTTGTGATCTGGCGCCTTGATCGGGTGCTCGCAATCTAGTACTCTGGATCTGAGAAAAATTATCCTTGAAATTTTTCGCGATCGGGCACCTCGCAATTGGGTACTTTGCAACCGAATATTTTTTGGTGGGGAGCTGATCATCGGCCGAGGTTTTGTTCTAGCAACAGTAATGGCCAAGCCCCCGAACGTAGTCGAGGTGATGCCGACTAAGACGAAACAGTGGCTGAGTAGGAGTTGACAAGCTGTAGTATCCGTATAGACGGATACAGTGTAAAGCATACTTGCAGCTCGACGCCTTGCTTGATAGTTCGCTTTCGGCTCGGACGGCTCACTTGGCTCGCTTGCGGCTCGATCGGCTCGCTTTGACGGTCCACCGGCGGCTCAGACGGTTTGCCGGCGGCTCAGATGGCTCGCTTGTCGGCTAGCTCGTGGCTCGCCGGCATTGCTGTTCAGCGAGCTCACGTCGAGTTAGAGTCGGACACCACGTTGAAGGCAGGTCACGAGGAGGTTGATCATCCTTTTTTTGCATGCGTACGTGACTCATGCATGCATATATGCGTATACGCAGAAACCAAGATCAATACGTTGATTGTTTTTGGCTAGCTTGCTTGCGTCATCTTCGTGGTGCTGGAGATCGTACGTCCTCGCTGTTTGCCTGGAGGTTGCGGTGCATTGTATAAACGCTGTGGTGACTGCAGTTTTCGCTAGCTATGTAATATGCTTAAATCATATTTGAGAATTTGTAGCATTTGGGACTCGAGCGGTCCGTTGTACTATATATTCCGCGTAGTAGACTTTGAGCCTTTAGAGTCGCTTAGGATTTGTGCTAGTAGGTAGTCATGTCAGCATCGAGGCCCGAACATGTGTTCAGGTGGAAGAACGACAGAGCCCCCGATTGTAAATTCAGGTCGACGATGGAGCTTCTGAATATATCCTGTTTTAAATCCTTAAAACAAAATAATTAGTAACCAGCCCCGATTACAAACATATAGAGAAAAAATAAGACAATAAAATTACTTATTTGAATTTTTGGCGAGAATGGAAATTAATCGATATAACCAAACAAAGCGCCCTTAGCTTGTTTAGGCTATTTTGGTAGTACGTGGAGTTTGTTCGAGGTGTTAGCAGCTGAGACTCGAGCGGTCTTCCATGCGTTAGTCCCTTAAAACAAGCATACTTGATAAATAGCTCGATTTGCTTTAGTCCAACAACTTTTGGTTATATGATGTGAGTATTGTAGTAGCCCCCGACTCTCTGTTCGGGTTAGCAGGTAACCGAGTAGAGAGTAGAGCCCGGGATTGCAAGAAGGAAAAGTTGAAAAAACTTATCTGACACCTAAGAGCCTTCCCTTGCTGACAGCAAAAGAATCGAGTTATCCTGACGCCGAGCCCGATCGATCGGGTTGCGAGTGCCGGGGTCGCCACTTCGAGTGGGGTCATGCATCGTCGGGGCTGATGAGATGTCGTGTTGGTGCCGAACTCTGATTACTAGCAGGTACCCCGGCCGGAATTGTAGCACATCGTATGACTATACATGGAGAAAAAAGAGTAGTAACATTAGTTACAGATGGTTTGAGTATGTGAGCCTTTCGTACGATAGTGTTATCATAGTACAGGGCTGTTTCAGCAGGATAGTGTTAGCATTGCAAAAGGGTCATGGCTACGTACCAAAAGCTGTAGCGTCAATATGTACCAATGGATTTAGCAGCGTGAAGTGATAAGAGATGGAACTTTCACATCAAGCATGAGAAAATTGGGAATTAAATTGTTGTGAGAGAACAGGCTCACGTTTGCGTTGACTGAAGCATTGAA